AATGCATTCTTGTATGTAATGTATATTATAAATTAATTCAATTTTGAGTTTTTTGTTTTCAAGCATTTCTTTATGTAATTGGAACTGTAAAATGTAAGAAGGTAATAATAATTTTGCATATACAATTTAAAATATTGTTTACGTTTATAATATTTAATTATCTGAGTGCATAAATTAATATCATTGTTTTACAAAAAAATTAGAAAAAGTTAGGAACTCTTTGTAAGTATATATTACACTTAATTATATTTACTGATAAAAATACCAAAAATTCTCTTACACATATTATAGTTTTACGGTAGATATAATAACATTTCAATGTAATAAATTTTTTTTACTTTGCCTTCCAATCTCAAAATAAAATCAATAAATTTTTAACAAGCGAAATCTAATTTGTAATATACAGTTCGGTAATACTCATGTACTATTTAATTCCACACTTGTAAATATATGTAAGAAAAGATGTATAAAATAGATACATCTTGCAATATAGATGTTGATAAGATATGAAAATTTCAGATTTAACTCGATATCCAATTCTAGTATATATTGCCACTTCAGGATAAGAACTGTTTTAGAAAGATTATAAAAAATATATGTAAAAAGAGACAAACACGTAAAAAATAAATAATATAGATCCGAAAAACATTCACACTTACAAAGATGTAAAACCATCCAAAATTATATCAGTTTGTGCACAATTAAGAGAAATGTAACGCATGTATGTTATGCTAAGAAATAAACTCTGTTTAAAGACAAAGTTTCAAGATCAATGTCCTGATAAATTTTTCGAAGGCTAAATCAAATACGCGCGGTTTAAAAAATGTATATATGTATATGTAAATATTTTGTACATAAATGTTATACATTATTCACAACACTAGAGACTGTGTTAGAAAATGTGAAAAGAGACTAGAGATGTCATAAAGAGGTTGGAGGGAATTGTAGGAAGGTGTTCAAAGGGCCAAGCATCCACGCATATTCTGAAAAAAGTAATTCGGATATTTCTTTCCTTTCTTCGATTCTCAAAATTGGATAAACTGAGAAATCTAGTTCAGTATCTTACATTTTCTGCATTAAAAATAAAAGCAAGATATAGAAAATAAGAAAAGGATAAAGATATTATATGGAAGATGTAATAATTAAAACACAAGTTTCTCCTTTCATTTTTTTAGAGAGAAGAAATAATGAAAAGAAAGATGGAAAGAAATGGTTTCCATAATCGCGCGAATTGTACGCTCTAGAAACGAAGAGAGAGAAGAAAATTAATTTTTGTTTACTCTCTCAGATCTGAAAATATCTGAAAACAATAAGAAAGACTGCAGATGCTGTTTCCATCAATAAAGATCTAATTTTAATTTCAGTTGAATTTTTCAATTTTCGTCTGATACTTATAAATAAAAAAAAAAGATTAAGTTTTTTTTCCAACAGATTAAAGTTTATCAATATTGATGGGAATGGACATGAAGCTGCGGCTTGGGCGCTCACGCACTGTAATTAGCTTCATTCTGTCTTTATTACTCATTATATGTGGAAGGAAAATAATGGATGTTTTCCATTTAATGACGTCAACATAAACATTGTTCTATCTTTCTTGACATTCAATGAGTAACAAAAACGAACGACACTTTTGTACGTTTTAAATAAAGCTTTTTTTCCAGATAGTTAAATCTATAGAGACAGATTTTAAATACATATGCTATCAATTTCTGATAACAAAAGGCAATAAATTTCATATAGAGTCACAGATACTATAGCTATAATGGATTTGCAGTGGGAATCTGAATTTACAGAATGTGTTACAGAGTGTGAGCGCCCAAGCCGAACGTATCCTGAAAAAAGACCGGGTAAATAAACGACTCATTTTAAATAGAAGCAGAAAAGGCTGTGCTCCAAAATTCACTACCAGTGCTCAAAATTTATAGCGCACGTAGCGTTATAGATTTTCAGTAGTGTGTGTATTGGCAGTAAATTTTAGAATACAACCACTTAGCATTACGTTTAAGTAGAAAAAGACGAGAAAAGCCAGATGATATCGTGTCCCAAAAAGGAACAATTATCAATTTTTGAAGAGAAAAGAATTCCGTCACTTATGTTTCCTTTAGATAAGCGCAATTAAACCACATTAATAGCTGTCGCAATGGGTGCCTTTCATCTAGTGATACAAATCGACATAAAGATTATTATTCTACCTTTCTTGACACATTCAAAATATATAAGTAATAAAAACAGAACAACACTTGTGTGTTATTTATGTCACCGCATCGCACACAAAGGATCCCGTAAGTTATACATATATATATATCATATATATGTGTGTGTGTGCTTCAACCTTTAAATTCTCTGGAAGATATCGAACCCCAATGATTCTTTTCTCACATTTTCTAGCAAGTACAACGTAACAAAATAATCATTTCATTTTTTAAGGATATTTTAGCTGTATATATCAATTAAAAGTATTATTCAATCAGCCAAAAAGTAAGCCAATATTGCATTAAAAAAATTATGATATTAACCCATGAATTACAAACTGAAACTAATCACAAAAAAATAAAACAAATAATTTGCATTATAATGATTTAGCCGATAACATAATAATGATATGGTTTTTTTTTATTCTCTCCTTATTAATTATATTCTTTCTAATCTATTCTGCATCCTTATACGTGTAAAAAAATATATAGATAACTCATTTTTTATCTCTTCCTCTACTTTTAGAATTAGAAAAGAATTAAGTAAATCGAGATTAAAATTAATCTATATTGGCCAGAATCAGTAAAAGATAAAAGTAAGTTAGACACAGATTAAAGTTAATCTTAATTGATAGAAATGGCCCAGTTTCACCTGATTCTATTAATGATTAATTTTAATCTCATAGAAGTTTAATTTGCTTTTTATCTTTTCTTAATTCTAAGAAGAAATAAACAGTCGGTTAGATCGAAATTAAATCTTGGAGGAACTAGGTCTATATAAGCGTGACAAAGCTTGGATAAAGAGAACGCGAAGTCCGCTCGCGGCGGCGGCGGTGGTGGTGGTGGCAGGATGAGGAGGGTCGAGGAGTCCGAGGATGTACGAGCGACGAGTTCGGCTTCTCCTGTGTGCGTCTCTTGCTCCTCCTGCTGCTCCTCCACCCGATCCAGAAAGATCCCGCGATTCGTTCGCGGTGACGCGATCGGAGCGTGCGCGCCGAAAGAGAAACGCGAGAACGAGCGAGAATACATACAAACACGCATAGATGATACACACACACATATATGCGTATGTACATGCGTGCGTAGTGCGTGCATGCCGTGCGGCTACGGGACGGAACGAAACGGAACGGAACGAAGAGGAGACTGTGGCCGCCCGCGGGGGTCGAGAGGCGAGAAAGCGGAGAAAAGACACACACACACATACGCACGCACACGCTGTCATGGCGTTAACGTTAACAACGCGTGTCGAGCGTACTATGTGCCGTCGGCGACGCTGCCGCGAAGCAAAGTGCCGGTAATACACCGCCGTGGAACAGACCCCGGGTAACGTAACGCGAGAACGACGGCGATCAGTCGTCCGTCCATCCGCACGGGGGAGAGAAAGAGTGAGTGAGTGAGAGAGAAGGAGAAGGGAGGAAGAGAGAGAGAGAGAGAGAGAACGCAGCGCGAGCGTTGTGTCAACCGCTCGGCTTCAGTTCAGCGCCGAGTCTGCCGTCGTGCTTCTTCGGTGAGGAGGAGGTCTAGCTCCTTCATCCGCGAGAAAGGTATAACGTGTGCTGGCTGACGAGACACGGTGCACGAGGTCGCGCGGCGGGCGACCCTACGCTATCAAACTTCTTCCTCCACCGCTGCCGTCAATCGCGAGAAACGAATGCGCCGCCGCCGCCGCCGAGCGCGCGCGAGAGGAAGAGAGAGGACCGCTCCTCTCCCTGCCTCTCTCTCTTTCTCTCTTTCGTAGAGAGTGCGAGCGCACTTAACCTAAAACCTAGATTCCTGCTTCATCGTTTGTCTGTCTCGTTGCCGTCTCACCCGCGGTTCCTCGCGGATCTCCGTTGTCGTCCGTTGCCCGAATAAGCAGCACGGCGAAGCGAGAACGCCGGAGATGTGACGTGACGTCTCGCATCGCATCGCATCGCATCCTATCGCATCTCCATCGCGTCCCATCGCATCGCATCGATCGGCTCGATCGCGAGAGCGCGACGGAGACCCGAGAAGCCATCGAGTCGCGGCGATTCGCATCGGTTTCGTCGCCGTTGCTTTATCGCGTGCTGGCTAATCCGTCATCCCTATCGCGTACTCCAGTGGCCGCGTTCATTCGGCGTAAACGCGCGCGCGAATGTAGGCCGGTGATACTTCGGTCAACTCCCGAACGATCCACTCCGATACCTCCGTGACCCTTTATGCTTCCGTTCATTTATCGAGTCTTTCAACCTCCTTCCAAGTAAAGGTAGTACTCTCTCTCTCTTTCTCTCTCCTTCTCTCGTTGGCTGCCGATTGGCAAAGTTAATGATAATGACGATTGTGATCTTTGTGATTTTTAGAACAGGAATGTCTATCTGAGTGGACTACAGATAAGGAAGTCCGCGGTGGACAATGCAGCAATCTGGAGGCCAGTGTCTTTAGTGGTAGCTACTGTACAGTTGCGGAGCCTGTGAAAGAGTGTATGGTGTGCATTCCTTATTTGCGTCATCTGCCACCGCAATTGCGTGGACAGTTTCTTCCCAAAGGTTATATTAACGCTTTCTGCTGAGTTTCATTGTTCTGTGTGTTCTGTGAAATCTTACTAGACTAGTGATGGTGATAATATGTCAGTGTTAAATGATCCACGTCTGATCAAGAACCAGCACCGAGCTTCATGGTGGAGAAATAGGACATGCTCGATGAAAAACATGCCTAAGTAGAGGAACACATGTTCTGGGAATTGATGGGTATATGCTTTTCCTGCAGGAGACCCACCAGCGGCAGGTTGAATAGTAAAATCTCTGAGCATATCTCGGCCTCCGTAACTCCTCTCCATGTTTGTCTGGAGGAACAAAGAAGACCAGAACTGGGCTCATGTGACGCCTCACAAGCTCACAAGCCTCAGGTGAACCTGCGTTTATATTTTAATTCGTCAAATGTGTGTAGCATGCTACTAAAATTAATTATCAGTAAATTTATGTGACTCTATTTTATTATTTGTAATCCCAACAATAGGTTAAAAGAACCTTTGAGAATCAAAAGGCAGAAGAAGAGATTCCCGAGGAGGTGGCGGAAAGTGATTCGATCGAAGTCGAAACAGGAGAGTTAAGACAAAGCCAGCCGAGTATGGCCAATACTATTAGCAACATGAAGATGACTAATCCCATAAAGGGGCTAGTTAGCAAACGCCGCAAACGTTTCACAGAAGATGGTTTTAATCTTGATCTCACATGTATCCTTGTCTTATTGTTTTGCACATGTACACTAAACCATTAGAAATAATTTATAGGTACTAAAATATCATGCATTGTGCATACTCTATTTACATTGAAAATACTATTTTATAGTTTAATATGATGAATTCATAATTGGATAAATTCCTTAGCGAGTGTTATAACGTTAGATATAAAAGCGAATTTAATAGCGATGGGGTTTCCTGCTGAGAAACTGGAAGGAGTGTATAGAAATCATATTGATGACGTTGTTAAACTACTGGAATCGAAACATAAAGATCATTATAAGATTTATAATCTGTAAGTACGAAAAAATTTGAGGTTGAAACGTTTCTTTTACAACAAACGACTTTGATATATCACTACGACAATAACGTTTTAGGTGTTCCGAGAGATCGTATGATTGCAAAAAGTTCAAGCAGAGAGTGGCTACTTATGCATTCGATGATCACAATCCACCAAAGCTGGAGCAGATTAAGCCTTTCTGTGAGGACGTGCAGTCGTGGTTATCCCAAGATAAGGACAATGTCGCCGCAGTTCATTGTAAGGCGGGCAAAGGTCGAACGGGTGTAATGGTGTGCTGCTATTTACTTCACAGCAAACAGTTTCCCACTGCCACGGAAGCCCTTAATTATTATGGAACTAAACGGACTCACGATAGGTAAGTACTACACGAAAGATATGTGGATTTAGCACATAACAATAATGTCTCGATGATTGAGAATTATCTTATTTATTCGACTTTATTATGATCTAGGAAAGGCGTAACGATACCATCGCAGAGAAGGTATGTGGATTATTATGCCACCCTCCTTCAAGAAGGTGTCAGTTATGAACCAGTGACATTATTATTGCGTAAAATACAATTGGATCCGGCTCCTATTTTCAACGGAGGTCAAGGCTGTAAGTACTAATATAGTAAAAGTTATGTATAGATTATTATCGTTAAAACAACCAGAATTTATATTATTTTATTAACTTTTTTAAGAAACAAAAACTATCTTTCTCTTTTATCTTTGTGATATTTTTCTCTGTAACTAATATTATGTTTTTAGGTCTGCATTTTGTAATCTCGGAATCAAATAACAGGATATTTTCTGATGATTACGAGGTTCGGAAAGGTACATCTTCTATATGCATCCCATTGCAACACACTGTCGCTCTAACGGGAGATATACGAGTGGAGTTCTATAATTATAAGCCAAAAATGAAACGAAAGGTATGTATTACAATATTGTTATTAATTTATTTTGCATATAAGAGATTAATGAACCATGTTTTACTGCATTTTCCAGGAAAAGATGTTTCATTTTTGGTTTAACACATTTTTCGTTCGTGACAAAACGAATTCCGAGTGCGACAATGGTGATTTACATGTTGAAAGATCGGCGAGGGCATTTAGCTGCGACGGCACAGCCATGGAATTACCAATGGTTATGTCGCATGTGAAACCTAGAACTGGATCATTGGCGAGCCTTGGTCCTATGCCGCCCACTCTCGTTTTACGGATAGATAAGTCAGGATTGGACAAAGTACACAAGGATAAAAATCACAAACTATACAGTCCGGATTTTAAAGTTAGTTTTTTTTTTCATATTCGTAAATTATAATTAAAGAAAGAAGAAAGAAGTATAGCAACGCGCGCGCGTAAAATGTATAATCGGATAGATATTTAGTGTTAAATATTCAGCATTAAATATTTCTCTAATTACAGCTAAAATGCAAATTTTGAAAGTAAATATACACAGCAGTGTCTGAATCCTAAATACTTACAGCATTAAATGTTTCGTTTGTCAAACTTTTCGAAAAAACATTAAAACGATTAAATATACATTTATTTAAATTCAAATAATAAGATGTTATCAAGTGCAAAATACAATGGTTGAATATTCGCGATCTTTTTTTAATTGCAGGTGAGTCTATTTATGCATAGCGTGGGCGGAAACATATCGCCAGCTGTGCCAGCGACGACGAACAGAGGTGGCGATGGTGTGCAACTGGGGATGGGCGGGCAGGAGACGCCGAGCGAGTCGAGCGAGGCGGACAGCAGCGAGTGTGACACTACCGGTGACGAAGACGGTTGGGAATCCGGTGAGTCCTCTGCATCCCTGGTGGTGAACCACCAACACCACCACCCTCTTACACACAGCAGTAGCCGTACACACGTTAGCAGTCTCCGTCCGCGATGCAATCTCAAGGAGACTGCCAAGGGTCTGCTGTCGCGCGGTGACAAGAATCGGAACAGTAACAGGCAGAGCGTTTCCGGTGCGAGCGCGAAACATTCCTCCGCACCGTTCGCGCGCTCAGCCACTCTCGACACGTAGTAGCTTAACGAACGCTTTCGGTACTTAAGAACGGTCGGCGGTGTTTTGTAAATCGTGAACGTGTTTTGCGCTTTCATAAAATCGCGCGTCTCGCAAAGTCTCGCGACATGTGCGTCCTGCTTTTCTTTTGGTTTTTTTTTCTTTGTGGACGCGTATTGGACGGCTTAGTACGCGCAAAATGATGACTAGAATCCGGAGAAATCCATTCTACGACATTTTTTTGCAATAACCTCCACTCGTTACGTTTCTCTTTCTCTTTCTCTACTATCGTTCCGTTTTTCACTCTCTTTCTCCTCTTCTACTCTCTCTCTCTCTCTCTCTCTTTTATTTTTTCTATTTCTTTGTCGTGGGACCATGAGCTTTATCTTGTTTTATTGACGATTCACGTCTTACCAATTACTATTAACTGTCAATTCGCCATGTATAATGCTCGATAGCGAAGTAGTTGTTATCGTGAATGTGCACCAAGAGTTTCGAGTAAACTGTTTGAGTAAATTTGAGTAAATTGATTGGTTCGCCACGTAGAAACCGAGAGAAGTAGCACCGGTGTAACTTGATTTTAACAAGGAGATGCACATTCGAAATGTTTACAACAGCACAATCTTGGTTATTTCAACATGATAAAGTTCTAGCGCAATCTTCAAAGAGAGGACGCATATTATGCCTCCACTATAATTTGTGTCATGTTTTTCGAGGTTTTTCGTGCTGTTAAAACGATTACAAAATCGGATGGGCATTTACTTGTTAAAAGAGTCTCCTTAAAATAGTATAGGACAAAATTATTTATTATGAAGAAGAAAAACTGAAGTAAATTAGTATCAACAGTGATTTGTAATTCAAATATCGATAGGTAGTTAAAAAAAATTTTGTACCATATAATCATCTTCTTTCTTTTCCAGTTTTTCTTCTTTCAAATATAGAAATTACTGTAACTCGTATTATCTTGAATACCAAAAATGAAGAAAATTGATATAGAGTCGCACACTAATTAAATTCTAATGACATTCTGCAATTAAAAATGTGTCTATATGAGAAATTTATTCTTTCAATCGAAGGAGAATTTTATTCTTTTGTTTAATAACCTATATTTTTATTGAAATAGCGCGTATATTTGCACACGATCGATTTTTTCCGTTCGACAGAAATTTCGGATTAACCAATATCTCAGAATATGCAATATTAGTGCGATAATGTGTTTTTAAAAAATTAAAATAATGTAATTTTTTTCTATTTTTAACGCGTGGAATTACGAAGCAACTTAGCACTTGCATTGATTACATTTCCTTCTATTCTCTTTTCTTTCATATTTGTTTAATATGTTTATTTTAAATAAGAGCGCAAAAATATCTATATAATTTAGATTTAATTGACGGCATATATTCTTTTTTTTAGATAAAGCTTGAAATTTCATCCATACTTCTCTTTCGCGGTAAGCTGATTGTAAAAAAGGAAAATTAGAAAATAACTCCGTGAGCACGTTAGAGTTGAATTGCGTAGAGAACAATCGCGAGTTTACGCCAAGCCTTTCGCAAAACGTGGATATACGTAAAAAGGAAGAGGAGGAAATTACAGAATATGCTCGTTCAGGCTTTGCGAATTTTTTTGATATTTATTAAATACAAACAATTTTGTGAGCTCGCGTCTCCATACACATCTCATTCGCGTCGAAGTACTCTACTTTGTAAAAATAACGTTACTCATTGAACATTCGTTTTATAATTATAACTACATGGTACACATATATACGTACATACATGCATCTATACACGCACGCGTGAACATATTACACATACATATATAAATACATGCATGCATGCATACGTACATATATATGTATATATGTATTTGTACGTATATATGGCTATATATATTACATATATATATATATATATATATATTCATACGTAATAGTATATGTGGCTGCATGCTATACATGTATATTGTATATGTATATGACAAAGATATATATATATATATATACATATATATAAGGACGTCGAGAGAAACTATTGAAAGATTTACAAATGTAATTACTTTGTTTAATATGATAGAAATGCGTCGGGGGTTTGCGTATAGTGTGAAAGACAGTTATTTCATCAAAGTAATCGTATTGCAACTCTGGAACAATTTATTTGCTGTTGGGACAATTATAAATAGGACACAAAATAGAGAGAAGTGAAGAAGCGGTGAGAGAACGACGGTAAAATATAGTTTTAAGAAGCGGTATTAAAACTGATATTTTATCGGAACTTTCTGGGATTTCTTTGAAACACACGGGCTCAGACGTACGCGAGGAAACCTTCGTTTATCCGTTTATCGATGACATGGAAGTACAAATACGTAGAAATCAGCCTTTATATACGTCGTGGGATTAAAGTAAGCCATAGGTGCCGATGATTACTATAGATAATGATTTTTATACTCGGTTCGTAATAATGACTCTCTCAAACGAGAACTACTTTATATGAGGAAATATAGCAGATAACATGAAAGAAAAGAAGAGAAAAAGGAAAATCTGAAGGTAAATATAAAAAATCGTCTTTCTGTCGGTAATTGCTTTTTATTATATATATATATATATATATATATGTATGTATATATATATATATATAGAGAGAGAGAGAGAGAGAGAGGAGGGGGGAGGGGGTTACGCGTTCTTAGATTAAGATATGTACGTAACTATTGTTGCGTAGAATATATGTATAAAATATAAAAAGAACACATAAATTATTAGAAAATTATTAGACGGTTGAATACATACATACATACACATATACACACACATACACATATACAATATACACAACACACAACTGGCTTCGGGATCGAAACATGTAGTTATTATATAATTAACTGTCGAGTTCTACGATTCTTTTTCATTATATTAATTAGGCGAAATTACAAATATTGGTAATTCGATTATAGTACGGTAGTACGCAATAGCATTATTAGTATTACGTTGTCGGATTATTCTTTTTTTTTTGTACAAGGCTAGACTTGTGATACGGTAAAGTAACCGCGCGTTTTACTTTTCGCACGGAGTCTGATTTTAACGCGATATTTGGTATATATACCTTATTATAAGTCTCAAAGGAAAAGAAAGAAAAAAATTAGGGAATGGAAAAAGAGCGGGAAGGATTTCTTTCATGATTTTAATAAGGCGATTATTTCTAACGGTTAGTTAGTAAAAAAATGGAACGCGCTCCATACGTTCCGCCGTGAATATGCGTCGTAAACAGAATTATATTTATTACATATAAAATTAGTTAGTTTAAATAAAAGTAAGATATATAACGATAAAGATTTTTATGAGCGTTTTCTTCACCTCGTGCTCGTGAAAAATAGATGAATTAGTTTGTCGAATGGCCAGAAATTCGCGTGGTATATGATCGCGAGTAAATTTTCGGAGAAGTGTATTTCCCCCACACTTTCCCCGAAGCTAGAATTAAGTGTTCATCGCACAATTTTGTACATACGTAGCCGATTTATTATATCGATGTATTTTCTTAAGAACTAATTTTGACAGTCTAATTCGATGTAGTACACAGAGTGTATGCTAGACTTGGCAGTTTATTTCTTGTCTATGGTTTTCTTTGATATCATTGATTTAGAGTCGATTTTTTTTTTAGTAACCAAAAAATTGATATCTTTTTAGGAATCAAACTTTAAAAACGTAATCGAATTCTTATTTAAAACTTTATATGTTTACTACTTATTTTTAAGTAGATTTTAATGCAACAGGTTTCTAAGTTGGGGACCAGAGTTACAGGTATAACAAGTAAGATCAAATATATGTGTTATATCATTATTTAATATTGGAAATGGAAAGTTTACACTATAAATAGTTATCTCGTTCAAAATCTTGGCTGAGGGAAAATTTATTTCAAATTGGTCAAAGAATCCGTAGACAAACGTTTAGCTACGTCTAGAATACTCTTACGGGGTCTATAAACGCGAAAACGTGACAAGTCCCTCTTTGATGATTTCTCTCAACGTTTTTGTAATCGTAGCATTGAGATTGTACTTTCTGAAAAGCATGGATGTTGAATGTATTATGACTTTGACGAAGAAGCAATTCATTTTTTTCATATCTTCTTTCATATCTTTTTTTCGATATTTCGAACGAATAAGCGAATACCGAAGCCCCATTACGTTTTTTCTTTATCTCGTTTTCTCCGTTCTTTTTTAAAATTTTATTTTAAACTCCTCATATCATTCTCGTTGCATGTAAATAATTTATATAATTGCGACTACTTGAAGATATTGTTAAAATGTTTGAGACATGTGTAAGATCTGTATAAGCAAGATACGTCTGTTTTACTTGTATAATAATTATTTTGTGATACTATTCGTATACTTATATTAGCCGTATCGTTGTTATATCATTATTATTAGTACTATTAATGTATTATTATATTAGAAAAGAACGCTACTGCTATTATACAAACATCCATACATATACACTCACACACATACATATATATATACACACGTACACGCATATGTCGCTATTCTCCAATCAACCACGAGAACATCTTTATAATTATTACTTAACGTAATTGAGATGTTAACGATTTTTCAAAGTACTACTGTGTTTACGAATGTACTATTATGTTTATTAATGTACTTCTGTAATTCGATACTTTTAAGGATAAGATTATATATATGCATATATACATTATATACAAATACGTGGTACTATACATTTTGTAACATTTTCTATTTGCAGCGCCTATTTCTGTAGAGAAACATACATATTACTTTTTTCAATCCTATCTCCAATGTTTTTTCTTTACATTCTCAACCATTCTCTTTTCTCTTTCTCTTTCTTCTGAAAGGATCGTGTAGCGTTTACGACATCCGTAATTGCAATTATATTTTCAATGCTTGATACCCTGATCCCTTATGCTCGTTGTGAAGATCGAAGTATACCTATTGTAATACATATTTGAAGTCGGATTAGATTAATTTTCTAAAAGTTTGCGTTTTATTTATTGCAT